AGGTCAGCATTTTTGTTATATTCATGTCTTCAACTGATTAGATGGGACTCACCCACAGTAGAAAGGGCATTCTCCTTTACTCAGTCTATGGAGTAAAATATAAAGTCCATCCAAAAATGCCCTTATAGGTTAATGTTTGACCAGATATCTGGGCAACTTGTGGTTCAGTCAATTTGGCAAATGAAATTAACCATCACACAGGATCAGTTAACCCTACTGGTTTATTAACTGGTTTCCTTGCCTATTAGTTTGAAGAATCTACAATAAACAGGTGGTAGTCATGGCTTTAGATTTAAAAGGAACTCTGATTTTGTCTGTCCCCTTAGACTGTTCTAATCCACGGGAACCTAAAATTATTTGGATAAGAAGCACAAATTTCAGGGTGAGTCACTAAGAAAGATGACAAGAAATGGCACACTGAGTTCCTTCCCTTGGTTTCTTCACTCAGGAATGCTAACTATGAGGTAGAATGCACCATTGTTCGCCTCCTCCATTCCACAGGGCATGTTCACCAAGATGCCACTGAAACTGTGCCTTTAAGGGCATTCTGATATCGTATCGGGTTGGAACTTTCTGGGTAGCGGGATATATGATGTAACTAGTGGATTTCATGATTATTTAAATACTGTCACACTTCCATTGCTGGAACATGTTATGTGAGGTCTCATAACAATAATTCTGATAACCAACTCGCCAAGGGTGAATGTCTTGGAAAATAGCGCAATATCTGGAGTTTAGTGTCAGTTTGTGTCACTTAGAGTTTGGATGTTGTGACACCAGCTACTTCAGACTTGGTTGGAGGGAGCTGTGATGCTGGACTGTGCCCTGCCTCTATCCGTGTCACCATAGCTCAGTAGTGGAAATAATGGGGCCAAAGGCAGAGACTGGCCAAACCCCACCAGACCAGTCATCTTATCGTCTTATCAAGTAGTTGTTCAACACCTCCTTTGCTCTGGATGTTTTTTGGTAGGCATTACATGAGAAATAAAGATTAACACACTTGTCCCCACTCTTCTAGATCCAATCATAGGCTTCTTTCCCAGGTGACTTTTGTCTTCAGTCTTCCAATCTCACTCTTAGACCCTAAATAACTAGTGAAGCCAGTGGATAGGAGTTTGTCTGTAGAGTATCTTGATCCAGGCCATTCATCTCTTCCACCATTGAAGATCGGGTGTATTGCTCAAAGCTGTGCCAGCCACTGGTAGACATGTCACTGTCCCCCACTGGCCAAGAGCTGCTTCTAGGATTCCAACTCTCTGGTGCTTCTGGATGGTTGTGCCTACAAAGATGGTGTCTTTGCTGGTCAGAATAAAATCCCTCAGGTGTAGAGTCACAGGTATTGACTTTCAGAAAGGCTTATAGGGGTAACTGCCAGGGCGGTATCAACAGGGTACTGATAGCCTCTGCTTCAGAAGGAAAAATCGTAGTACTTGTCTCTAATTTCTTTCCTTAATCTTTGTTACTCTCCAGCGATCTATACATTTGATGTGAAATATCTGTACCCCCTCAATCTTTGTCTTCATGATCTGTTCAATGTAGTAATTGCCTCACTGCACTTAACTGCCCTTCTTTAAAAATGCTAAATATTTGTTTTTTCTTCTTTAATGCCACTTAACATATTTAATCTGACTGTGGGTATTTTTCAACTATATCATAACAACCTCCAGATACATACATGCATTGGAATTAAGCTCTGAGGTTTTTGAACACAAAGATAATTTCTTACTCACCTCTGCATCCCATATATCTAAAAGAGTACCTGGTACAAAGGAGGTACTCATTAAGTAAACATTTGCTAAATTATATTCAGTTGAACATTCCTATGTTTGTACTCCTTCAAGCAACTGTGAAAATGTTAAGTGCAGAACAGGTATTCTGAATTACCTGTTGAATTGAGTTGCATTAATAATCCTAAATTATATTTTTCCTTCTCAGACTTTGGGTTAACTTTTGGTTCTCTCTCTACCACTGTTCAATAAAAGCCAATGTAAGAAATATTAAAGTGGGTGGAAAGTTGATGTGCTATTGATTGGTTGTGCAATTGGATAAACATAGTGATGTGGAATGTTTAGTGACACAGACGAAAAGATTTGGAGTGGAGGAGGGGGTCCTACCCAGTTATGTTTTGAAGTTATTACTATCTGTTACCTTCATGACCCCAAGCCCAATACTGATAGTACAGTTTTTAATATATAAGCTTAAAATCCTTTTTTCAGAGAATGTTGGGAAATTGGATCCTCGATTTTTATCATTTAATAGCCTGCTCGTCTTACACTCAATGGTCCTCCAATCTTAAACCGACCTGCTTTCCGGGTAGCGAAGGTATTTCCTTAAGATGTAAGCATGCAGAAGGACTGGTGTCTGACTTGGTTATCTTCTGTGGAAACCGAGCCCCATGGCAGGCATGTGACTGTCATCCAAAGATGAGAATCTATAGTATCAGCTCGGTACTAACTGCTGGTTGGTTGATGAAAACACTATAAGAATACTCAGTTTTGCATGCAAAATTGTCGATTGTCAAATAATTATAAGATACGAGGCAATGTGAAAATGGGGTAACTTGCTGTCCCTGAGTCATACTTGTCCATGACTGTTTGCCTCTGACCTGGCTGGTTATACCATAGAACTTCACCTCTTGCGTTCAGCTTCATGGTTCATTTTTCCTTACCAGTTTTTCATTTCATGGATTCTTCTTCTTTTATTCTTCTGTTAGTACTTTCACTGTACATGTTGTGTTTTAGCTTTCCCTGCCCCGTCTGTTCATCCGCATGCATTCTCCGTGATGTCCCTTTTTCTCACATACACGGACAAGTCTGGAACACTTCACCCCAAAGCTGCCCCCAAAACCGAAACAACACCTGTATGATCTGCAAAGAAATTCTGCAGATATGACAGCTTAATCGTGCCTTTTCTTCCTACATATTTGCAAATAGAAACTTAAGATTAAGCAATTTTTCTAATGGCACTAGGTATTTTAATAACGTGGTCAGGATCAAGAATCAGGTCTTTCTGTTTTCAGCCCCACTTGTGGTTGATTTCTGAGTCTACAGCGCTTTGTTCAATGCCTGGAAAATAGGTGTTCGATAAAGTATATATTAATGAATAAAGAATACATAAAAATGAAATAAATCTCAAACCCTTAATCAGTTGTTTAGGTTATTTTTTTAATTTTGCAAATGCTATATTCACCACAAAATATAATTTAATATACTGAGAGTAAAAGGAGAAATAGCAAAGTAGTGTAGACCGGTGATCTCCAGAGTGAATTGCTTGTCTCTCGGGAGGTGTTCAAGGTGTCCACTTATGGCACAGAGAAAATATATCAGGGTTTTAGATATGATTTTTGTGTAAAAAAAGGGTAGTGTTTTAAAAGTCAAACAGTTCAAAAAGTTTTAATGAAAATGTCAGTGATCTTTACCTCCTGTCCATCATTCATCTCTGTTGCCAAAATAAGCCATCTGTGTTCTTCTTAGTTATTTTTCTTGGCATTTAATCCCATATTTCTGTTTGTATTTGCTTTGTAACTCACCTTATTAAATCCCATATTTGTACATTTTAAAATTTGCATAAAATAATCATACGCTAGGACACACATATATTATTTATATGTAATTTATAAATGTCTGCATGTCAAAGGCATCTACAAAACCGTGGTCTAGACTAGAAACGTGAACCTCTACAGCAGTCAGGGAGATGATCGTCCAGGGGCCTGAGCAGAGCAGAAAGATCATTTATGTTTTTGAATACACTCTAGGAAAAGGCCACATTTCCTCTGCAGGCATAGTCTAAAGGGTCTCGGGAAAATGGTATTAGGGGCTATTGGAATCTTTTACAACATGCCTTGTGACCATCTATAATTGAACAGAAACAAGATAAATGTAAGGTAGACACCAGGGGTTGAAATCAATTCTTTAGCAAGTGCACTTGTCTTTCAGCCAAATGCTCATCACTATTACTTCTCACCCAAAGGCTTTCTTTCATACTGAATCTAGTCTCCTTGCAAACTCGGGCACTGGGAGTTAATGTCATTAGTGGCACTTGGCAAAAGTCATGAAGCCACAGGGAACAGGTAATTATTAATGGCATAAATAGTCATAAATTTATTTCTTAAACATGGAATGCCTGCAGCCTTGTTTTCTCTCCGCATCCCTTTGAACCAGAATCAATTTATCATTGTAGCTTTCTGGTATACGATTTTATGTCAGACGGCTTGCACTGAAAATGACACCTTCCTTTTTGAAGGCATTTTTACCTCTCTCTTATCTAATTGTTTAAGAATATTCAGGGGCGCCTGGGTGGCTCAGTCAGTTAAGCATCTGAACTTCGGCTCAGGTCATGATCTCACGGTTCATGGGTTCAAGCCCTGTGCCGGGCTCTGTCCAGCTTAGAGCCTGGAGCCTGTTTCCAATTCTATGTCTCCTTCTCTCTCTGACCCTCCCCTGCTCATGCTGTCTCTCTCTCTCTCAGAAATAAATTTAAAAAGATTTTTAAAAAAAGAATATTCATGTATCATTATATCTCCCTTCAAAAAAATCAAATGGTAGTTATTCTTAACAGAAATTCATTTTAAAGCCTTATTCCAGCTTGATTTATCACTGAAATCCCAGTCGTAACTCAAATATGTTACTTGGTGACTCAGTCTGTGGACAAACTGACTCTACTCTACTTAGAGTAAACTCTTGTACCATATAAGCCAGTGTCACCAGACTCTTGCAGACTTCAGGGTGTTGGCATGTTTGAGATAGGACGTCACTGTCACACTGTGGCATCGGCACATGGCACATGGCACTTATTGACGGAATAAGAACTCCAGGCATCTAGTGGCAATCTTGAAGCAACAACCTGGCATTGGTCACCAGCTGCCTTAACATATTTCATACCCTGCAAAAATTTGTAATTAAGAGGCAGGCATCGAATAATCACCATGAAAATGGAGCCCAGTGTTTTGTCTGTTTTCATTTTCTTTCCTAACCATAATTTGTTTTTTGGCTGTTTTCCAGAGGTGATGTGTCCCGACAATGAGTATAGCAGAAGTTGGAAAGACAAGAGGTGGATTTTCTACTGCTCCCTGTGAGTAACTCCTGAATTTATTTTCTGCCTTTTGGTATCAGGGTTTCTTACTCATTCATGTCTTCCAGAGAAATCTTACTAGGGCCTCCTGAGTTGTAGATAGAAATGTAAGTCAGCAGAGTTTGCCCCAAAAGCTCTGCCAGTGTAGTGAGCAAGACGGGAAGGTCAGCACACATGAACAAGAGTGCACACATGCTGTTACAAAGCAGGTGAAAAGGGAGACCGGCCAACAAAGTCTCTGATTCTCTCCAAGTGACCAGGTCTGGGATTCAAAGAGGAGTAGACATGGCTGTTGGGTTGTGAAGGTTGAAAACAAGATTTACAGTCAGGAAAGCAGGTGGGTTTCCAGAAAGAAAGAGTAACTGGGGACATAGAATAGTGCCTGCAATTTGTTGAACATCCACGATGTGCCAGGCAAGGACTTTTCACAAACGAGCGTTGATCTTATTAAGATCATGTTTGTTCTTTCCGTTTCACTGAACAGTTTTGTGAGTCAGAGGGCATGCCACGTGGCCAAAGCCATGCCTCTAAAAGTGGCTGAGATTATATTTGAACAGAGGTATGTCTGACTGGCTCTGAACTTCCATGTTTCCAAAACAGCACACTGCTTCTCTCTCTACAGGAGAGGAAGAAAGTGTTTTCCTTCCAGCCGAGGACTCTAATCTTTTAAATTTCCAGCATGTGGCAACGTTGTGAAGAGTGACAGTACACGGGAATGGATGGCTGTGATCATTGTTGAATGCTATACTCCTTGCGTATTGCAACACTATTAATGCCACAGCTGTGGGATTTAAGGTGCCTTTCTGGGAGCCTGGAGCTTTAGGCCATTGACTGCATTTTAAATAGACACACAAAGGTTTATATAAGGAGCCTTTTCCGTGAATGTTTTTATGGTTATATGTGTATGTGTATCTATCTCTCTAGTTAATTTAGTATTCGTCTAGCATTCAGAATGAGGGGCATTAAATCTCTCGTATCTTCCACGAAGTTACCAATTCAAATGAGCCACTTCATGATCCCCAGCTAGGTGATGAATTAATCTGTGAGATGTTTACAACCAGCTTTGGTTACTGTTCTACCTGAGCTGATTACTTCCTCGTTGGGCAGTAATTATACTATTTTTGGTAAACAGCATGACTTCTTTTTTTTTTTTTTTTTTTTTATTCATTTCTAGGAGAGAGAGAGACAGACAGCGTGAACAGGGGAGGGTCAGAGAGAGAGGGAGTCACAGACTGAAACAGGCTCCAGGCTCCGAGCTGGCAGTCAGCACAGAGCCCGACGCGGGGCTCGAACCCACGAACCGTGAGATCATGACCTAAGCGAAAGTCGGACGCTTAACCGACTAAGCCACCCAGGCACCCCTTTTTTTTTTTTTTTTTTATTCATTTCTAGGAGAGAGAGAGACAGACAGCGTGAACAGGGGAGGGTCAGAGAGAGAGGGAGAAACAGCATGACTTCTGGGTTTTCATCCCAGCTCTGCCATTAAAAAATGTAACCCAAGACAAGTAAATCAGCCCCAAAAGCTTGCTAGGTAGGTAAAGTGGGGATTTTTATTCGTTTCACTGGACTGTTCTGAGGATTAAATATAAACCGATCCAGTATGTAAACTCTAACTCTTAAACATGTGGTGTGTTTTACATAAAAAAACAGTTATTGCTCATGATTATTATGGGAATAATTGCAATATGTAAATTAGCCTTCTCCATCAATAGCTGGGTAACTTCCTGTTAAGAAAAGCTCAGTTATTCAGCCAAATATTTACCAAATGGTCAGCACTGTGTTCAAATTCAAAACATTTTATCATAAAAATAGTATTTTCACTGGTTGAGGGAACTTGAGATCTAGAGTAAAGCTCCTTGTGTCAGACACCACATAGAACAAGTAGAGAGCAAGGGAAAAATAAATATAAAAGCTCATCACATGGTTTGGAATATATCTTCATCAGGGTTGAGATCGGGTCTCTAATTTTCCACTTTGGTGGGGTCTTTGTCTGGTTTTGGAATCAAGGCAATGCTGGCTTCATAGAATGAGTTTGGAAGTTTTCCTTCCATTTCTATTTTTTGGGGGCGAGTTTGAACAGACTAGGTATTATCTCTGCTTTAAATGTCTCGTAGAATTCCCCTGGGAAGCCATCCGGCCCTGGACTCTTATTTGTTGGGAGATATTTGATTTTGGATTAAATTTCTTTGCTGGTCATGGGTCTATTCAAATTTTCTTTTTCTTCTGTTTCACTTTTGGTAGTTTATGAGTTTCTAGGAATTTGTCCATTTCTTCCAGATTGCCCGATTTGTTGATATATAATTTTTCACAGTATTCTCTTATAATTGTATTTCTGTGGTGTTGGTTATGGTCTCTCCTCTTTCATTCTTGATTTTTTTTTTTTTTGATCCTTTCTCTTTTCTTTTTGAGAAGTCTGTCTAGCGGGTTATCAGTTTTGTTAATTCTTTCAAAGAACCCGTTCTTAGTTTTGCTGGTCTGTTCTTTTTTGTTTGTTTGTTTCTTTATCATTTATTTCTTCTCTAATCTTTATTATTTCCCTTTTTTCTGCTGGCTTTCTGCTTTATTTACTGTTCCTTTTCTAGCACCTTTAGACGTAAGGTTAGGTTGTTTATTTGGGACTTTTCTTGCTTCTTGAGACGGGCCTGGACTCTAATATATTTTCCTCTAAGGACTGTCTTTGCTATGTCCCAAAGGGTTTGGACTCTCGTGTTTTTAATTTTATTTGCTTCCATGTATTTTTAATTTCTTCTTTAATTTCTTGGTTAACCCATTTTTCTTTAGTACGATATTCTTTAACCGCCATGTATTTGAAGGCTTTCCAAATTTTTTCTTGTGGTTGATTTCCATTTTCATAGCGTTGTGATCTGAAAATATGCCTGGTATGATCTCCATCTTTTTGTCCTTGTTGAGGGCTGATTTGTGAACCAGTGTGTGATCTGTTCTGGAGAATGTTCCATGTGCCCTCGAAAAGAATGTGTATCTGAATGTATCTGTTAAGTCCACCCTGTCCAGTGTGTCATGCAAACCCATTGTCTCCTTGTTGATTTTCTGTTTAGATGATCTGTCCATTGCTGGGAGTGGGGTGTTAAAGTCCTCAACTCTTATTATATTCCTATCAATGAGTTCTTTATATCTGTTATTAATTGATTTATATATTTGGGCGCTCCAAGTTGGGGGCATAAATATTTATAATTGTTAGATCTTCTTGCTAGATGGAGCCCTTACTTATGATGCAATGCCCTTCTTCATTTCTTGTTACAGCCTTTGTTGTAAAATCTAGTTTGTCTGGGAGGTGCCTGGGTGGCTCAGTCAGTCAAATATCCAACTTTGGCTCAAGTCATGATCTTGTGGTTCATGAGTTTGAGTCCCACTTTGGCCTCTCTGCTGTCCATGCAAAGCCCACTTCAGATCTTCTCTCTCCCTCTCTTTCTGTCATTGACCCGTTCATGCATTCTCTCTCTTTCTGTCTCTCTTGCTTTCTATCTCTCTCAAAAATAAACAAACATTAAAAAAAAATAAATAACATTTAAAGAAAGAAATAAATAAAATCGAGTTTGTTAAATACAAGTATGGCTACTCTGGTTTTCTTTTGACATCCATTAGCATGATCGATGGTTTTCCATCTCCTCACTTTCAATCTGCACACGTCTTTAGGTCTAAAATGAGTCTCCTGGTAGGCAGCATATATATGAATCTTGTTTTTCTTTTTTTAATCCATTCTGATACCCTGTGTTTCTTGATTGGAGCATTTATTCCATTGACATTTAGAGTGAATACTGAAAGATAATGAGTTTAATGCCATTGCGTTACCTGTAGAGTTGGTGTTTCTGGTGATGTTCTCTTGTCCTTTCTAGTTTTTGATGCTTTTGGTCTTTTTTTTCCCTCCACTCAAAGACTCCCCTTTAAAATTTCTTGCAGGGCTCATTTAGTGGTCGCAAACCTTTAGTTTTTGTCTGGGAAACCCTTTATCTCTCCTTCCATTTTGAATGACAACCTTGCTGGATAAAGTATTTTTGGCTGCATATTTTTTCCATTAAGCACGTTGAGTCTAACCTATCACTCCCATCACTAGGTCTGCTCTGAACCTGCTCTGTCTACCCTTGTAGGTTAAGGACTTTTTTTTTTTTTTTTTACTTTGCTGCTTTTGCAATTCTTTGTGTATTTTGTGAATGTTGATTGTGGTATGTCTTGGTGGTGGCTGTCTTTTGGTGAATTTAATAGGAGTTCTCTGTGCCTCTTGGAATTTATTTCTGTGTCCTTTCCCAGATTAGGGAAGTTTTCAGCTATAATTTGCTCATATAAACCTTCTGCTCCTTTTACTCCTTCGTCATCTTTAATCCTTTGATATGAAATGTTATTACATTTTTATAAATCTCTGAGTTCCCTAAGTCTGCCTTTGTGTATCCTGACCTTTGTTTCCTGCTTCTTTTCAGCTTCATTATTTTCCATAATTTTATCTTCTCTATTGCTAATTTGCTCCTCTGTCTCATCCATTCTCATTTTAATGTCCTCCATTTGGGCCTGCATCTCGGTTATAGCGTTTTTAATTTCGTCCTGACTGAGCTTTAGTTCTCTGATCTCTGCAGAAAGGGATTATTTGATGTCTTCTGTGATTTTTTTCAAGCCCTGCTAGTATCCTTATAATTCTTTTAAATTCCAGTTCAGACCTCTTACTTCTATTTGCATTGATTACATCCCTGGCCACCATTTCTTCCTCTTTATTTTGAGGTGAATTCCTCCATCTTATCATTATGGAGGAAGAGAAAAACAACAATAATAATAATAATAGAATGATATAAAAATTAAGAATTTTAAAATACAGGAAGCTAGATCATGTGTGTTTTGATCTGCTTGGTATTATAAGCTTAATAGAAAAAGGAGAATAGAGAAAAGAAGAGAAAAAAGTAAATAGTAAAAAAATTTCGCTCTTTCTGTATCCAAGAAACAAAAGAAAAACAACAAAACAAAAACAAAATAACAAAACGAGCAAAAGAACGGAC